CCCCCCCCCCCCCCCCCCCCCCCAAACTTGAAATCAACAGTGTCCCTACTATTGTAGACTCATAGCCAAACCAGAAACATATATTACTCATGCACGGAAAAAACATAAAACTGAATTGAAATGCACTAAGCTTATAGAAACTTCCCTGAGGAGTCAAAGGGCAGCAGTCATCCTCTCCACTTCCAGTTGGTAGCGCTTCTAAGAGTGTAACGTCGAGTAGATGGCTCCGGCGCTTTGACCTTTCCCTTGTTCTTGCCGGTGCGTGGGGCATCAACCTCAGCTTCTTAAGGCTCGTGGAGAATAGAACTTGAAGGGGCTGTCTCATTCACGATCTCATCTGCAACTTCAGCTTCATCCATGGAGGGTTCACAAAGATGGTGTGGGAATTCTGGAAACGAGTGAAATCTGTTGGGATTAGCATGATAATGTGTTTGCAGGGCCAAATCCCTATGTTGCTCATATTGCCAGAAATCCCTCATCATCTGAAGGGATTCGTATTGTATAACCTCCATTCGAGACACTTGATGCTCCAAGCTAGTGAAGCTGCCTGCTAGATCCACCAAGGGCTGAGTAGGCATGGTGGGGTGGGAGCCTCTAGTGCAGAACCATCAACATCCTTCTCTACAGGTTGACTATTTGCTTGAATCATCCGAGCAATGGTCGCCCTCATGATGGGGCCATGGGGCTTAAATTTTGTCTCATTAGTGGCAACAATAACCCCTTGCTCGACGCATAACTTGGAAATGAGCGATGGGAACCAAAGACCCCCTCGGCGACAACTTGCACAAATCACAATTTGCTCCCAAATTAGGGCTCCAATGTTTATGCCCCTTCCTAACAATGGAGAATAATAAGATTGCCCTGTCTTTGGCAACCGTGTGATCGTGGGAGGAGGGCATAATCTGAGATTTAAGGAAATGATGCCATATTTTTGGGCCAAGCTTCAAAAGTTACCTAGGGAATGTCATTGCACCCCGATCCGATCGGGTCCAACTTGCTCCATCTTCACAAAGATTTGCTAAAAGCTCATCGAGCTATTCATCATCGAGGTTTTCAGCAAAGTCAACATGATCGTCCTTGATGTTTTGCAGATTGTACAGGCTGTTGATGGTATTCCCATCAATAGCAACTCGTTTGCCTCTGACATGCGCAAAATCGGGCTCATTAGCATCAAAGTTGGCATAGAACTCGCTAACTAGAGGCACAACCGCTGCTGGAGGATGTTGACAAAAGGCTTCCTATCCATTCCTTGTGATCACAGAATATATATATTCCGGATAGCCAAATGCGTGCTTCCTTTGGTAAACGAATCCTTTTTCTGAGCTGAAAGCTCATTGGTAGGTGATTTGAGCATAACGTTTGTCGGCTAAATTGGAAACAAACTTTTCTATGCTCTCCTTAGCATTGGGTTCTTGCCGACTCTGCTCTTTCTCAATCTGCTCTTGTGTTCCCTGCTCATTTTGAACCTGCTTTGTTTTTCCTTTTCGAGCCTTACTTTTCACTGTCATTGTGAACTACAGAATTGACTGAAAATCAAAGGGACTAAACCGGGCTGCCTAGTTTTGATGCACAATCCACCCTAAAACTCTGATAATGCACTAACTACACCCAGATATCAGAGAGTATACAAGCCGGTTTCATTTATCAATATCAAGTTCAAAAGTAAAGGATTTACAAACGTCAACTGAGACTCCCTGATCCAAGTGCGTGTTCTCTGTTTCAGCTCGTAATGATGGTGTAAGAGGCGGCACAGACTCGGTGGCTTCTGGACGAACGGATGGGTGCAAGCTCACTGCGGCATAGGTAGGATTCAAGGCGGGATGGATGAAAATGGGAAAAAAATGTGGGGGAGTGAAGGACCGAATGGTGTGGTGAGGTATGGGGGAATGATGATGACGGTGTGTTAGGGGAGGAATAGAGGTGGCTGTTTTGAGGTAGAGGGCGATCGGTGTATGAGGAGGACGCACGGACATGAGGATGGTGTCTGTTTTGGTGTAGAGATTTTAGGGAAATGAATGAGGGAAAATGGGGAAAGACGAGTTAAGGTTTCTTTGGGTCAATGGTTGTTTGGGCATATTTTCCACGTGGCTAAAGGATATATAGAGGCTGGGTAGTTTTTTTTTTAACTACTCGGTATCACACAAAATATGACAGCAAATGTTGCAGCAATTTCTAACGCATTCTTTTAAATAGTCTGTTATCACAACACCGTCCGCTTTCACTACTCAAACCACTCCTAACTCAATTTTAGTTGTGCCCTTGTGATTCCCTACACCATAAAATGAAAGAAATCCTACGGTAAGCTCAGAACAATGAACGAGCGACTCAACAAACGCAAGTACAAAAACCATGACAAATTGAAACAACAAAACTTGGACAAAACAAATCAAAACACTAAATGGAAATTGGATTGCCTCCTAAAAGCGTTTGTTTTAACGTCAACAGCCTGATGCCTGTGTACTTTATGAATTTTGCAAGGAGATTGAAGTCTTCTCCTTGTTCATCTCACTTCCCCAATAATGCTTCAACCACTGGCCATTATCCTTAAACTTTCTTCCTGAATTTTCTTCAATAAGCTCCACTGCACCATGTGGGAAAACTGCAACAACTTTGAAAGGCCCTGACCAGCATGATTTCAACTTTCCTGGAAAGAGTTTCAGCCTGGAATTGAAAAGAAGCACACTTTGCCTTGCTTCAAACTTCTGAGGGAGTATTTTCCTATCACGCCACCTCTTGGTCTTTTCCTTGTACAACTTGGCATTTTCATAGGTAAGTAAGCGGAATTCCTCCAACTCATTGAGTTGTATGAGCCTCTTTTCCCCAGTAGCCTGTATGTCAAGATTGAGCTTCATGACTGCCCAATATGCTTTGTCCTCAAGTTCCACTGGTAGATGGCAAACCTTCCCAAACACAAGCCTGTATGGAGATGCTCCCAAAGGCATTTTAAAGGCTATTCGGTATGCCCATAAAGCATCATCAAGCCTAGCCAACCAATCCTTCCTTGAGGGATTAATAACTTTTTCAAGAATTCTCTTAATCTCCCTGTTAGAAACTTCCACTTGTCCGCTAGTTTGTGGATGATAAGCTGTGGCAACCTTATGCTTCATCCCATATTTCCTCAAGAGTTGCTCAAATTACTTGCTCCCGAAGTGTGTCCACTCATCACTTATTATGGCTCTAGGGGTGCCAAAGTATGTGAATATGTTCTTCTTAAGAAATTGCACCACAACTTTAGAGTCATTGGTGGATCATGCAACTGCTTCCACCCATTTGGAGACATAGTTGACCACCACTATGATGTACTGGTTTCCAAATGAGGATGGGAAGGGTCCCATAAAGTCTATACCCCACACATCAAATAACTCCACTTCCATGATGTTATTTAGAGGCATCTCATACCTCCTGGAGATGTTCCCTATCCGTTGGCATCTGTCACATTGCAAAGCATGTGCATGAGCATCCTTAAAAATAGTCGGCCAGTAGAATCCTGATTGTAAAATCTTTGAAGCTGTCCTAATTCCGCCATAAGGTGATGAATGGCAATGATGCAGAATGCTATCTATTTCTTCCTCAGGGACACATCTTCTCATAATCTAGTCAGCACATTGCTTGTACAAATATAGTTCATCCCAATAATAGAACTTGACATCATGAAGAAACTTCCGCTTTTGCTGGCTAGAAAGTTCAGGTGGAAGTATACCACTTACCAAGTAGTTCATCACATTAGCATAATAAGGTGTAGCCAACCAATTCACTCCGAACAGGTGCTCATCTGGAAAAGTCTCCTTTATTGGCTCTTTGTCTTTCTAGGAGACCCCTTCCTCGAATCTGGACAAATGGTCTACAACCTGATTTTTAGTCCCCTTTCTGTCTCTGATCTCTAAATCAAACTCCTGGAGTAACAAGATCCATCTAATAAGCCTAGGCTTTGCATCATTCTTTGCAATCAAGTACTTGATAGCCTAGTGGTTAGTGTACACCACAACCTTGGTTCCAACCAAATATGCCCTGAACTTGTCAAATGCAAACACCACCGCTACTTCTCAGTGGTTGTATAGTTCAATTGCGCCTTAGTCAGTGTTCTGCTTGCATAGTAGATGGGGTAAAAATTATTATCTTTTCTTTGGCCCAACACTGCTCCCACTGTAAAGTCGCTAGCATCACACATCAACTCAAATGGTAATGACTAATTCGGGGCCACAATAATGGGTGTTATTGTAAGTCTCCTTTTCAGCTTCACGAATACTTGCAAGCAATCTGCATTAAAGTTGAAGCGAGTGTTATGCTCCAACAACGAACACAGAGGCTTTGAGATTTTTGAGAAGTCTTTGATGAATCTCCTGTAAAAACCTGCATGACCTAGAAAACTCTTGATTCCTCTGATTGATGTAGGGGCGGCAGCTTGTCGATAATCTCAATCTTAGCTTTATCTACCTTGATCCCTTTCTTAGATATCATGTGGCCAAGAACAATTCCTTCTGTCACCATGAAGTGACATTTCTCCCAGTTCAAAACTAGACTTGTCTCCTCACATCTCTTTAGAACTCCTTCCAAATTTTCCAAGCAGTTGTCAAAAGAATCCCCAACCACTGAAAAGTCATCCATAAAGACCTATAAGAATTGTTCTACCATATTTGAGAAGATGGCCATCATACATCGCTAAAAGGTAGCGGGGGCATTGCATAGCCCAAAGGGCATCCTCCTGAATGCAAATGTCCTATATGGACAAGTGAAGGTAGTCTTCTCCTGGTCTTCTGGTGCTATTGCAATCTGATTATACCCTGAATACCCATCTAGAAAATAGTAGTACTCTCTGCCAGCTAGTCTGTCCTGCGTCTGGTCAATGAATGGCAATGGGAAATGGTCTTTCCTAGTGGCCTTGTTCAATTTTATGTAGTCCATGCAGACTCTCCAGCCTATGACTATGCACATGGGGATTAACTCATTCACATCATTAGCTACCACAGTCACTCCCCCCTTCTTGGGTACACATTGCACTGGACCAACCCACTGTCTGTCTGAAATAGGATAAATAATCCCTACATCCAACCATTTAATGACTTCCTTTTTTACAACTTCCTTCATGATTGGATTTAGCCTTCTTTGTTGTTCTACAGAATTATTGTAGCATTCCTCCAGCAAAATTTTATGCATGCATATGGATAGACTAATTCCCTTGATTTTTGCAATTGTCCATCCTATTGCTTTTTTAAACTTCCTCAACAACTCAAGCAACTTATGTTCCTGGTCTTCAGTTAACTCGGCTGAAACAATAACCGGTAGCATTTTTGCTTCTCCCAAGAATGTATACCGAAGGTGGGAAGGCAAAGGCTTCAACTCTAAGACTGGGGGTTCTTTTATAGATTACTTAGGTGGTTTGAGCTCACGTTCGGATGGCCCTAAAGGCTCAAACTGCCTTCCTCTAGTTGTACCAGTTGTCCCTGATTCCAACCAAGCCAATTGGCTACTCAATTATGAAGTTTCTTCTTCTAACTCTACCAATGCCGAGATGTGTAGAGGGTGTTTAGAGCAAGCTTGCTCTAGGTCCTTAAAAGCACTAGTATCTATTACATTCACCAAAAAGCATTCTTCCACTTCATCAAGAAATCTCATTGCCTTGAGAACATTAAAAGTGACCTGCTCATCATTGACTCTCAGGTCTCCCTAAAATGATGGGCACCGCCCTATTAGCTTCATAATCCAAAAAAATAAAATCAGCGGGGAAGATGAACTTGTCTACTTTCACCAGGACATCTTCAATCTTTCCTTCTGGATGAGCTAGAGATTGATTAGCCAACTGAAGAGTTACTGTGGTTAGCAGTGCTTCCCCAATTCCAAGCTTCTTGAAAACTGACATAGGCATAAGATTTATGCATGCTCCTAAATCACAGAGAGCCTTACCAAAGTAGTTATTTCCAATTACATATGGGATGGTGAAAATCCCAGGATCTTTTAACTTTGGAGGGATTTTATTCTGCAAGATGGCGCTGCTTTCTTCTGTCATTACCACTGTTTCAAATTCTCCAAGTCTTCTTTTCTTTGAAAGAATGTCCTTCATGAATTTCACATAACTAGGCATTTGCTTAAGCACCTCCACCAATGGAATGTTAATATGGAGCTACTTCAAGACATCTAGAAACCTTTTAAACTGCTTATCTTGCTGCTACTTTTGGAATCTTTGAGGAAAAGGTGGTGGTGGTCTGTCATTTTGCCTTTCTGCCAAACTTTGTTGCAGCGTTCCTATAGGTTCTATAGCATCGCTTCGTTTTCAAGATTCTTCCACTTCACCTTGGATTGAAGAGGGCACTTCTCGGTGATTGGGTTGTCTAGTCACTTGCTCTAATTCTCTCCCATTCCTCAGCATAATAGCCTTGCAATGCTCTTTGTCTTCACGCCTAGGATCTTTAGTATTATTTAGGAGTACGCCTGGCAGACGACTAGTCAAGGCGTTAGCTAACTGCCCCATTTGATTTTCCAATTTCCTAAATGAAGTTGCTTGGTTATGAATCAGTGCCGACTGATTTTGAATAATGGCATCATTCTTTGCCATGTACTCCTTCGAAAAGTTCACAATCGATGAGTATTGTTCCGCCGGTTGATGTCTCGACTATTGTGGAAATCCTGGAGGATATTGAGGGTGGTTTGCTGTTGATGAATATGTTGCGTTCTGCCCTTGAGAGTTCCCAAAAAAATTTGGGTGTTGCCTCTAACCTGGGTTATAAGTATTGGAATACAGATTGTTGTTTTTGTTTAAGTTACCCATATAACATGCCGATTCCAGGTTGGATGGACAACTATCAAAGAGATGGCCTTCACCATAGTAAGTACAAGATACTGCTGTAAATTGAGGAGAATTCCCCCCTGATTCATTGATTTCAAGATACTTGCCAAGGATGACACTTGAGCGGTTAAAGCTGTCACCGCATCCACTTCATGAACTCCTGCTCCTGCTACTCTCCTAGTTGCAGCTGCTCTCTCTGCAGGCCATTGATAGCTATTATTAGCCATCCTTTCCAAAATCTAATAAGCCCCATAGTAAGTCTTTGCCAAAATAGCACCATTGGTTGAAGCATCTACTATGGTTTGAGTTTGCCCATTAAGTCCATTGTAGAACGTCTCCATCTGAATCCAATGAGGAATCCCATGGTGAGGGCATTTGCGCAATAATTCCTTAAACCTCTCCCATGCCTCATACAAAGATTCCCCTTCATGTTGCTAAAATCCGGTGATGTCATTTCTAAGCTTCGCATTCTTAGTTGGAGGAAAATACTTCATCAGAAACTTCTCTGTGAATTCATTCCAAGTTGCCATAGAGTTCGGTGGTAGAGAGTTTAACCATGCCCTAGCTCCATCCCTCAAGGAATAAGTGAAGAGCTTCAGTCTCAAAGCTTCTTTTGTAACCCCTAGAAGCTTAAAAGAATCACACACTTCCATGAATAGCCTGAGATGCAAGTGGGGATCTTCAGTTGCCATGCCACTAAATTGGCCCACTGTTTGAAACATGACCAGTTTAAGCTCAAATAGAGGTGCCTGTATCTCCGGCCTAATGATGCTCGGATTAAGCCCATGTAAAATCAGTACGGCATATTCTCTGATGGCCCTATCCCTGTCATCTGCCATGGCTGCCTGGTTAACTGGATTGTTAACATTTACGGGCTGCCCAAGGTTGGCTGCATTACCGGCAGCTTCCTCAGCCATTCCTTCAACAACCGCTAAACCTTGTTGCTCCATTCTCAATGCTAGGAACGTTATTTCAATTTCTGGATCCAAGGGCAACAAATCACGGTCTTGTTGTCGATGCATGCGAGAAGAAGAGTATCTGAAATAGCATAAAACAAAATTGTCAAGTAAAATAATAGAAACACTTGAATTTTATAAAGATTAATAATGATAACTATCCCCGGCAAAGGCGGCAAAAAATTGTTGCTATAAATTCACTACGCCAGTGCATGTACCAAACAAGTAACAAAGTGAATGAGTAGAGTATCGTTCCCACAGAGAAAGTTATCAATATTTTTTCTAATAAGATCCAAGATATGCAATATAAACAAATTTAATGGTTTGATTCAATTACAAAGACTAAAAGAATTACAGTAAACAGAAGTAA